GAATGTGTGTTTTCTGTGTTTCAGCACCATTGCAGAAAATGTGGCAAAGCTGTGTGTGGTAGATGTAGTTCCAAACGCTCCACGTTCCCAGTGATGGGCTTTGAGTTTCCAGTGCGGGTGTGTGACACCTGTTTTGACTCTATCAAAGAAGAAGAGTGAGTCCAGTGTTGTGTATTTTTCACCTAATATTGTAGTTTTTGTTGTTTATGAGGACTGGGGACAAAGCTGATGAACTGAGCGTTGTGTTTGTGTGCTTTACAGCCGAACACCGTTGGCCACGTTCCATGAGGGGAAACACAACATTGCCCACATGGACATGGACCTATCCAGAGGCCTGATGGTCACCTGTGGAAGTGATCGCATTGTCAAGGTTGAAAACGGTTCTTTTAAAGCCGCACAGTTTATAAACCGTCTTTGATCATATGTCATTTAAACAAACGTGCTTCGGGAGCAAATTATATCTGCAACAGTGCTGTATTTTCTCGACTCCAGATTATTAGTCACAAATAGATTGCATTCAGTGAAAACAGTTCGAGGTTCAGTAAATCAAGTCTGGCATCGTTGAAAGACATATTACACTATATCGAATGCATATCCATTGAGGGATCAGGTCATCTGAAGCAGGGGTCCGCACACTTTTGTGGGCCAGCGAAATTTTCTTTCCCAAGAATATAAAACTAAACAAGGCTATTTGAGTTTAAAACTTTTCAACTGAGTAACGAGAGATGGACACAAATCCAGTGACCAAGTGAAGGGGAATTCAACCTGAAAACTTTATTGACGAGAATAGATTAGATGCTGCCCCACTCGTCCAAACACAGCATTCTGATCAATATGGTGCGTGTGGAATAGGAGTAAAGCAGTAAAACACACCCGTTTTTGTCCATGTCAGGGGTGCGTCAATTTTGCCACTTTCTGTCAACTGAATATGACCTCACAGTTGCTCAGGGCTCAGATAACGACCAATCATGACTCAGCTTCAGAAAATAGGTGAGCTGTGATTGGTCACCTGAGCCCTGAGTAACTCTGAGGTCATTTGTTGACAGAAAGGTACAACATGGGTAACCCTCTGACAAAACAAATAGATTTTGCTGCTATGTGTCCGTGCGTGTGTGTGTGTGTGTGTGTGTGTGTGTGTGTGTGTGTGTGTGTGTGTGTGTGTGTATGAGAGATTGTAAAGAGCAAGGTCATGCAACAGCAGTCTCCCAAAAAGTTGCTGAGCATTTTCTTTCGCATTATGCTGTAAGTGATGGCTAAAGGTACTGAAACTTGTTGGACATGCTACATGTTGTGTCTAAAGTAGTGGTTCTTAACCTGGGTTCAATCGAACCCTAAGGATTCGGTGAATCGGTCTCAGGGGAGCCTCTGCCCTGGAGGTTAAGACACAACCCGACTCAACATGTCAATTAGTTATGACACGCCCGCTTGGCCATCCCTGGCTGCAGATGATCACATTACATTGCTTGTGCAATCAGTGCTGCGGGAAATGTAGTTCGCTCTGTAGTCAACGTGTGACTGTCGTGACAGTACGTCGTAAAATTAAAAAAAAAAAAAACTTATGGCTTGAAATTTGACTTACTTTTTTTTCTGTTTTTAATAAATGTGTTTTTTATGTCTTGAATTTGGAAAAAGTCATTTTTTTGTTTTTCACTAATGAAGGGTTCGGTGAATGTGCATATTGACTGGCTGGGTTCGGTGCCTCTAACAAGGTTAAGAACCACTGGTCTAAACTATTTGCTTTGATGATGACAGTTAAGTGCAGCAGTTATGTCACATTTAAAGAGTCATCTTAGTGTTTTTTACTCAGGTGTCTGTCTCAACAGATCTGGGATATGACGCAGGTGGTTGGCTGTAGCTTAGCAACAGGCTTCTCTCCGCGCTGATTGGTCAAGTCACTCCTCCTGGTGTCATGGAAACCCCTCTGTACAGTGCATCATCGCCATCATGCCTGGACTCTGCAGCTTCTGGGGGATGTGCACATGTGCGTGCGTGTGTGAGTGAATGCCAGTAGTATAGGTCTGATGTGCATCTTTTTTTTTTTTTTTTGTTCTCCTTGATCCTTGATCTATTTCACTACTTCAATTCATCGTGAAAGTGTATATGAGTGTGTGTGTGTGTGTGTGTGTGCACCTGACCCCACACAGAGCACAAAGCACAATGGTGTGTGCATGTGAATGTGTGCATGCCCCCTTATGGGAAGAGTGTCAATGTTAGTGTTTACGTTTAATATTTCTGTTTCTTTTGACAAATGTTGACAATGGTCAGTTGATTATGATTTCATTTTTTTATCCTTGTACTGTAATCTTCATCGATTCCTGACCTGCCACCCTTGTAAAAACATACACATGCTTCCGTCGCATATTTTTGCAGTCCACTAACTGTCTTACTCGGTGGTAACATGTATAAACACTGCACCTGTACACACCCTGCTTTATGTTTAAAGTGAAAATAGTTGTTTGGAATGACTTTCTAATCCCAGTTATCAGTTCCCACCGTAACCTTTTTTTTTTCTGTGTCTTTTTCACCAGAAGGCCTTAAAATCACTCTCAGGAGGTTTTACATCAATGGGTTATCACTGGGCGGGGCTCTTCATATTTGGTGTTACTCCAACCATTTAGTCAACACAACCATTCAAGTGTGTGAATCAGCCATAAGTCATATCTTAAGTACATTTCCAAATGACGCTGTGTACGCCGTGGTGCAGCTGCTCTGATGCTGACCCACCCTCCCAAGGGTTGATCCTAAGTGAGGCAAGAAAACCTACTCCGTTGCTATAGCAACAGATCATTGCAAAATGTAACACTGTTTGGTAGCAGCTTCAAAAATGCCTTTGCTAAGGTAGAGAAATTGACTGTTGAATGAAGTGTTGGGTAGAGAAATTCCACTGCTTGCAGGTAGACATGTGACAATGATGGAGAAAACTCCAATGCCTTTCGAGAGTTATGAGTAAAATAAATGTATTGGATCTCAATTGGATTTTTACCTCAAAGGCACAATGGACAGCTGCTAGAATTTCGTTAAACACTAAATGCTACACATAAGCTTTGTTCCCGCTGTATCAGGTATGTCAAAATGCCTTAAAGACAGAAGGACACACTTGTGATTGTCCCCATGCACTCTCTCAATGAATTTCTGGATGTTTCCTATTTTGGTTTATTCATCCCTCCTTCCCCCCACACATGTGTGTTATCAAGGATTCCACTTTGCAGGGAACTCATCCCTACACTCGGTGAAAGAATAATTTTGATTTGTGGCGCTCCTATAAGTGGTGGCTGATTTGTGCTTATGTTGGATGCCTGCCTTCTATGGTTCTAAAGTAGTAAACACCATATATTCCTTATCACATTCCACTTTTTGATGTAGTGTATATTTATATATGCAGTAAAGTATTTATTATCTGTGTAAATGGTTTTTTTTCCTGACTATATAATTACAAACTGGTGACCTTGGAATACAGTACATGTGCATTTTAAGAAAATATATGGCTGACATCACCTGCAGTTTTGACTGTGCTAGTGAACTCATAGGGCGGCATGGTGGCCGAAGGGTGAGCACGTCCACCTCACAGTGCAGGGGTCCAGGGTGCCTCTGTGTAGTTTGCATGTTCTCCCTGTGCCTGCGTGGGTTTTCTCCAGGTACTCCGGTTGCCTCTCATATACCCAAAACATGTGTGGTCAGTTAATTGAGCATGCTAAATTGAATCTGAATGGATGTGATCAGCTGGCAACCTCGCCTACTAGCTCAAGTACGCCCACAAGGATAACTGGCTCAGATAATGTGTTTGTGTGTGTGTGTGTGCGTGCGTGGGTGTGTATATATCTCCATCCATCCATCCATGCATTTTCTGATCCGCTTTATCCTCACAAGGGTGCTGGAGCCCATCCCATCCATATACCATAATACCATCCATCCATCCATTTTCTGATCCGCTTATCCTCATAAGGGTTGCGGGGCGTGCTGGAGCCCATCCCAGCTGTGTCCTGGTAATAGGCGAGGGAAACCCTGAACCGGTTGTCAGCCAATCGCAGGGCACACAGACAAACAACCATCTGCACTCACACTTTGGGACAATTTTGAGTGTTCAATCAGCCCGCCATGCATGTTTTTTGGAATGTGGGAGGAAAGCGGAGTAATTTGAAAGTGACAGAATTGTAAAATGATTCTCAAAAATTATGCTGTTGCAGCTTGCTTTTGCCACAATTTTGGAAAGTAGGCAATGAAAATTAATTTCACATTTAATGGGTTGTCAGGCACTCC